GCCTTGATGGGTTCGAAGAAGGAAATGTTGTTGTGCAGCCGTCTCTTATGAAAGTATTCGGCTTGATTATTTAACACATTCCTCAAAGGAGTGCAGACTTTATCCTTTTTCGCGTGCACTTAATGTTCGCAATAAAAACTGTGGTAACTTTGCAAAGCATTCCATAGCCTATTTATATACAAATTTACATATATAGAGTTGTTACATTATATTATATAAACATACTAGCTGACCCGGCCACGCGTTTCTGTGGCTAAAGTTTTTGTTATATTACATTATAGTAAACAATCTAAGAGGAACAATAAGAGAACACCAGTCACGGAGTCCCCTCTGCTTTTTCACACAGATGGTGTTTGTAAAAAAATATGGTGATCTCTTTATTTGACTTTCTACTACTATAACCCTTTAGTACAATGAAATTATTTACGAACAACGACGAAAATGTTGGTGTTGGTATAAAAATTCACAGGATTGAGATTTGAAGGGGAAGTACGTTGAACACAATTAATTAAAATGTTCTTGCACTTGATATTAAGCAGAAATCCATACAAAGTAAAAATTTATCACATTTATTATTTCCATTTATTTTTATAACAAATAAGTATATTACAGTATAATACAGTAAATAACATGTGACGCTTAAACTCATGAATGAGGTAGGCAAGGCAGACAGTCTTAAACTTTTAAACATTAATATCTATTTTTTTGAATTATAAATACTTTCATTTTCAATTTAATTTAACACCAATCGATGCACAATGTTTTTGGTTAACCTGTCTTTAGCTAACACAAATATATTCGACGGTTTCCCAGCACGTGAACACGCAACATTAGTTGCCCATGAGAAAAACATGGATTTTCCAAATCTAAACCACAAATGGACAATTTTTGACCTTGAGATTTATTTATAGACATGGCGAAAGCTAAACGAATTGGAAACTGTAGCCTTTTGAAGGGTATGGTAGAATCTGATGGTATCATCGGAATACGTGGCAGCAGGACTACTTTTCCTTTAAACTTCCCAGCCAAAATGGTTGCTTCAAGAATGTTTATGGTGATCTTTTTGATGACCAAACGCGTACCGTTACATAATTGAGGTGGATTCAAATTACGGAGGAGAATAATAGGGGGACCAATCGAAGATTATGTGGTGGCATTCCAGGGATATCTAATGAATTTAAAAATTCAATCGGAAAATTTACACTTTCATTTTCATCAAAAACAGTATCGATTGATTTAAAAGACATCAGATCGCCTGGTAACAACTGTTGTATCTGGAAGTTAATTTCGTCAACATCAACGTTTTTGGCTGCCAAAATCGCCCGTTGACTAAGCCATTCATGATTCAAATAATTATTCTGTATATCCGGGAAAATACTCTGAAT